TTTGAGCTCCCAAAGCCATGTACCACTAAAACCACTCTGGTAACAAATCAAAACCAAATAGTTCCTTTTAACTGCTTCTGTGCAGGGCTAGAGAAGGCACAGCCATTCAGCACGTCCTTTTAACAGGCTGTATAAGCTCATTACAAAGTTAGTAGGTTTACTGGGTTTTTAACATCTTACTCTAACCAAGACTTTCTGTAAGACATTGACCCAGTGTAAAAAAAAAAAAAAAAGTGTACACAACCAATACCGTTTTCAAACAAACTCTACAAACAAAACTTAATTCCATTATTGTTAATATGTTAATATAATGACACAGTTCTGGCTGAACTAAACACTAGCTTTACTTTTTTTCTTCACAATCCTAAAATTATCCACGCTTAAAAGTTAAAGTCGGAAGATGTGATAAATGTGATTCGTGCTAATTAAATTGTAACTATATTAGCAAACTTGTATTTAGATCAATAGAAGACAATTGTTACAGAGTGAGGGGGGAGATGGGTGAGACAGGATGAAGGACATCTTCCAGATGTCGGGAGTTGAAGAAGGATGTTGGAAGAGAACAGTAAAAAGATGTAGGTCTGACAAGCAGCACCTAGAAATAGAAAGTTTCGACCTTGAAATGGGCCAAAATGGGATGATTCCAGGCATGGGACTTAATTAGAGTCATGTTATGGAAAACATCTGCTCAGTCACACAGGGCGCCTGCGCTACCTGCAGGTCACACCTCGGTCACTGATGAAGACGATGAGCCTTCATCGGAAATAAGACCCTCAAAAGGATGAGAGAACCCCTAAGCCATTAGTAGAGCATGCACGTACACATAGTGACGTAGATTTTAGAAATAGAAACTAGGAGGAGCTTTCTAGAAACTTCTGTAGCCTACAGTATATAAGTGGGATTGTTAGCCTGGATGCTTTGATACGTGAGGAATGGGAGCCACTCCCCGTAACCCCGGTCAGTTTTGCTTATGCTTTATACGAACCTCAGTTATACTAAATTACTTACTGCCAAATTTTGTATATTCACAAATATATCCACTTTGATTGTATTCATCTCCAATACTTTAATTGTATACATTTATAATTCGTACTATTAAAAATTTGCTGCTACATTTAATCTTGTTGCTTGATAAATTGGAAAAAATAGAACATCATTCATAATAGAAGACTAGCATATTTGTAGCTTAATAATGAAATTAATTTTTTCTTCCTGATTATTTCCACAGCTCATACCTTTTTTAAAGCAAAAGTATTTCCTGCAGATTTAAAGTTACCTTTACACTTCACAGTGTTACAATACAGTAATCCAAAACTTAGTGACTTCTGCAGTGAGGATGAAATTCATTATGTGCTAAATGGATTTCAGTGCAATCCACATATAATAAAGCTACAAGGCAATTAAGTTTCTGAAGAAGATATTAATCTTGACTGTCACCCATAAAAGCCCAGCATTCAAGGCTACATATGCAGACAGCACCAAAAAGCAAAAAAGTGCACGTGTCCTTCATAATTCACCAACCCTCTGAAACCAAAAATGTTTATAACTGTAACGTCAGATTCTGAAGTATTTCTGAAAATTCTAAAATTTCTGAAGTTTTTCAAAGCAAACAGAATAAAATAAAGGAAAGCAATTACTGTTTTTTCAGTTAACAGCTCTTTTACAATAACAACACAATCCAGCTACAGCTGCAAAACTAAAGTTCTGCTGTAAACAGTGTTAAAGGCTGCCTTCTGCTCTCAGCAATGCTCATCCATCTGATCTAAAGCATTCAGAATCCAGCCTTAATTGTGCACTGCCTTGCAACTGAGTTGGGGGGGGCGGGGGGGGTACTTTTTGGTTGGTTAGTTAGTTGGTTTTTGTGAAATTACCCCTTATTGTAGAAGTATCAGAAGAAACCCAAACACTTGCAAGATATTAAAATAATTAAGTAATAAATATTAACCCCAAAAGAATCAAAAGCTGTTTCAGTAGAACCCACCAAATTAAAACTCTGGTGTTTTCTTAGTATTTTTCTCTATCTGGATGCTGCAAAATTTCAATATGCACATGTCAATGCAAGGCTCGGAGACACCGGTTTAGCATTTCATATCTCCATAGTTCAGCGTCTTCAGGATTATACCCACCAATGGTACCTCCTCAATTATGCTTTATTGTTTTGATATCATCCTGTTTAGAGCCTGAAAATTCATCAATATCTCAGGTGAGAGCCTGAAAATTAATCGGTATCCCAGGACATGCTCCTCCTCTCCATTTGTGCCTGTACTTCCCTGGTACTATTTGAAGAGGTTTATTACAGTTTGATGCACGACAAAGCATTTCTACAGCTAAGACACCATGTTATTTCATTAGGAATGCAAACATCTCTCTTCCCCATGCAATATGAACGAAATAAACACACACGCACAAAATGTCTGCCCTCGCTGCAAGTATAAAGATCTTTTTTTCCTTAACAGCTATGGAGCTGGAAAAAAAAGAAACCTTATAAACAAACTGCTGCATGTGCTAGGCAAAGAAATGACTGACCAAGCCTTAGGCCTGCAAATAGAAGGGAGACTAATTCTCAAAGATAAAATTTATACTTAGTAGCTGCCGCAAAGCTGCAAATTTCAGCCCCATTGCACTGAAAATAAGCTAGTTTTTAAAAAGAAGCTCATGTAATAGCTTCTTTTCAGTAATATTAATAAGTTATAGATCACAGCCAAGTTTAGTTCTAGTACACAAGGAAGGAGATGATTTTACAGTGCTAGCTTCTGCGTTTTCAGCTCCTTACAGAGATGCCTAGGCATTTATTGCATTTTTAACTTGCTATGAAAGACATCATGACATGCAGAAGTCAGCCTCCAGTCTCCACTGGGGCTGCAAGAAAGGCAAAAAATTGTTGGCCACAGGATGAGCAAAGAAAAGTGCAAAGAAGCAGGGCAAGAAGGAACAGGAAAGCCAAGCAACTGGCCCATATAAAGCAAAACAAAACAGAACAAAAAGAAAACACAAAGAAACAAACAAACAGTATGCAGAAAATGTCAATATGAAATTTAGCGTAAAAGTAGCTGTAACTTTTTGCCTTTATTTTAATTTGTTACATAAAAAAGGATACAATTACCTAAACACTAGGGCTCTAAACAACAACAAACCCCCAGGTGCTATACTTTTAACAGTGACACTGTGAGTCCATAAACCTGACAGAGCTGACTATAATACTATAGTGGTACATATTATAAAGACATCCAAATCCAACTGGGCAAGTCTCCTCCTGCATAAGCCGCTGCCATAAAACAGAATATAAGCAAAATTGAATAACTGCACAAAGCCAGAAAGGCATTCCATTTATACAACTCATCACCCAGGCTAGCTAATGAAGTAAAGTCATGTCAAAGAGCATTTCTTAAATATTCCTTCACTACCTTGTCACACATACAGAGATGCAAAGGAAAACTGTAATTTATAACACCATATTCTCTGATAAAGGCCACACTAGTTCTGCCTTGAAGGCACAACTCCCTTCTGAAGCAAAGCATTAGCAACCTTCTCCCTGAGGGACTTTAAACCATCACCCAGGCCCTGAGCTTTATTGCCATTTCCTCATGAAATCAAACAAATGTCCCTACTCAGACGTATCCTGGCGTTTTCAACACTGTAGTTCAAGCAACATTCCGAAAAACCTACTTTGAAGATCACAGAATACAATTCTAGGACAAAACTTAGGGAATGTGGATTATTAGGTCAGAAATGAGTAGCTTGTGTCATGGTAACATCTCTCAACCTATGAAACACTAAAATATTAACATTCCCCGGTTAAGGTCTTTAAATTAAGAGCTAACATTGCAGAAGAACACGACAGTACAGAGGAGCAAGTGTGCTCTGAGGAGACAGTGCACACTTTAAGTGGGCATCGCTGTTTTCAGAAATCAGAATTATTTCCATGAAGACCACAAACAAATGGAAAAAGAATCAGTCTTAGCACACTGGTTGTAAAGTACACATTTTCAAAGTTTATATTTCAAAACCACAACTGTCAAAATAATCATTAGACTGAGGGGGGAAAAAAAGAGTGTTCAGGGAATTGTTTAGATAAGAAATATCACAACCCTTGAACTTTATTTTTAAAGTAACTGCCAGTTGTTATAGATATTCAACAACTTTCTGGCTCCAAAGAGATGGCAGTGGGGATTCAAGTTTACTTAGCTTTTCTGTGGGGTCATATTCTTAGGTTACAGGTTAAAAGGCACACTAAAGAAATTCCCCCACTGTCCCAGTTCTCTAGAGGCACTTACTAATTGCAAGCAGTAGCATAAGTTTCATTTTGAAAATGCAAGTTTCCATGGCCTCTGGCAAATCCCTCCTTTTGAAGTTCAGTATTTTTTTCAATTATAGTGTGAGAGCTCAGAAACACCATTGCCACAAAACCAACTCCTGACCAAAACACACTGCCACTGCTTCCAGACACATAAACATTCCACTATGGCTTATTTCGAGCTATCTACTACAAATATACAAGCTCACCCTTCCCCACCAAAATCCATCAGCCTGGGTGACACTCCTCAAACTCTCTGAGGAGCAGCGGAAGAACTTAAACGAAACTGTGTAGTAAGAATATTGATTAAAACGTACTGACAAAAAAAAAATTTAAAAAATCCTATATTCCGGGACAGCAGTACGAGTTTTCTCCTAGATTACCCACGACCGGCTTTTTGTGTGTTTACTTGCAAAAACCACCTGCCCGAGGCACGAGGTGATAAAATCCAGGATTACAGACGTCACCTTGCAGCCCTGGCGGAGGTGGAAGTGCTGCGGGCAGGGTTCGCCCGCTGTCCCGGGAAGCTCTCGGTGCCGAGGCCCCGCTGGAGCCCCTGGCTCCGGTGCTGGCGGCAGCAGGGCAGGAGCTCCGCAGCTCCAACCACTGCTCCAACTCGCCCACAAGTTGAGCGCCGGGGAACGCGAGGCGAGAAGAAGGACGGGATGGCTCCGTACCGCAAAGAGCCGCCTCCCGCTGTCGCTACCTGCTGATGAAGCCATCCCCATCGCCGTCGCAGGTCTGGAAGAGGCGCCTCATCCTCTCCTCCTCGCCCGTGCTGGAAGTATCGGTGCTGCTGCCGGCGCTGCTCACCTCCACTACGCCGGCTGCCGCCATCATGCGCGCCGCTCCGGAGGAGGAGGAGGAGGAGGAGGGGGAAAGGAGGAGGAGGCAAGGCTGCCTCGGGAGTTCGGGATTCCCCGTCCCGCCGTTCCTGCAAAGTGCGAGCGGCAGCACAAAGCCGTGGCGGGGGGCAGTGCTGGCCCGGATTCCACAGCCTGCGGAGTGACTGCCGGGCCGGGACCCCGCCCGGGGCTCGGAGCGGGGATAGGGCGGCTGAGGCTCCGAGCTCCCGCCTGCCGGTGCTGGGATCGCGGCGGGACCCAGCGGGAGCGAGCGGGCGGTGTCGCTGCTCTCTCTGCCGGGGCCCGCCGAGTGCGGGGCGACCCAAACCCTCCCCGATGATCTCTGGTTCTGCTTGAGCCGAGCAGGGCCGGCTCCCTGCTCCGGGGGTGCTGCTTTGGCTGCTGCTTTGGCCGGTCTGTGGAAGCCAACAAATCTCAGCGTTTTCTGTAGCCCTGTGTTTGCACTCCAGACTGTTAGATTGGGGTACTGTTAGGTAAAAGCATTCTGAGGTGCAGAGCACCAGCCCTCTTGACTTACCCAGTTCCTTTCCACTGGTCAAATTTTACCTGCGAAGTCAAGAATTGTTTTTTCTGTGCCTGAACATGTTTGTGGCCTGTACCCTTCCCTGTCTGTTAGTCTCCATTTAAAGAAAAGTAGGTTTTTTGCAGGTATCATGTGGCCAGATGAAAAAAAAAAAAATTGTGCCTGTATAGTACAGCTTCTTCATTTCCTTTAGTTCTTTGCCACCCTTCTCAATACCTAATTAAGTTTTATTCAGTGCTTTTTATTCTTATTCTTGGAAAAAGAAGTGTACAGCACTAGCACCAATCTGTTTTATCTCTGCTGGAAACAGGTAGTCTGAAACAGTCTAGAACAGCGTTTCACTTTACCTACACATTATGCTTCTTACTCCATCACACTGTGATTAATTTGGGTCAACTAATTTTTTTCCTGACCTGTTTCTTTATTAAAAAAACCAAACAAACACCTTGTTATTAATGACATACATTTCTCTCGTTGTGGCTAATAAGTATACAATACATAATCCTTCTCCTATTAATTAAGTCTTTGAAGATATCCAGTTCATGCCACAAAAAATCTTGATCTTCCTTGTTGCTGACAGGGATTAATGAATATATAAATTCAGCAAAGTTATCACATTTGTTGCACAGTGTCTTTTAAATACATTAACTGATGGCAACAGTTCTAATTGTTAATATTTATTGCACCTTGATTACATAAGTCATTACAAGGGAAAAAGTCCCTCTGGCATTTTATTAACTAAAACTACTTGCAAGTGTAAGCATGCATACACTCACTCTCGTATTGTCTCGGTCTCTGTTGGTTTCCAAATTACACTGCTCACATTAGTTCTTGCTGGATGACCAGGGCACTGTAATATGGAGTCAACACAGTTCCATACTCTTTCAATGCACTGAAAGCAGAGAATATTGCAACTATCCTTTCAGATGTCCTGACCCACAGTGGTCTGACTCTTAGTCTTAGAACACACTTTTTCAGTCCTAGGCAGGATGTTGTTCATGTGTGATATCAGCTGATTACTGCAGCTGTTTGTTTACACTGAAGACTGGAGGAGATCTGAAGTCACAAAACCATTTTCTTCAGCCAGATCCCATAGACGAGCTGTTCAGTACCACACAGAAGAATCCTTGCACACATTCTGCAAATATAACGTGCACTGCTTCTTACTAAGAATGAAAATTCTTAACCACAGGGACTCGATGTATTTGTATGCGTCCCTTTCACCTTGGGATATTCTTTGATTCTGTGATTCTTTACAGAATCCTAAAACAGTGTTTCCTGACAAGGCCACCAGTATCAATGGAGCAAGATTGGATCCAAGGATTCAAAATACCACAATAAGAACCTCCAAGAACAATCTCTCCCCATTCTAATGCTATCTGCTAAGTCTCACAGTTGGCCAGTTCTCACCTTTTTTAAAACTAATCTCCCACTTCTCCTCTAATTTAGATAACACTATCTGTTCTCAGCAGCACGATTCACATAGTAGCTTTCTTTGTGGATCAGAAATTCACCCATTCCTTATCTTTTCCCTGCTCATTGTGAACAGGTTTTTAGTCAGTTGAATTGAATTTTTCCTGGTGTCTTTTCGGTTTCGGGGGATCAGCTATAGTTAACTTTTTTGCATTTGCACCAATCCCAAAAAAGCCTGGTGCGGTGGTTTCTGACTTTCCCTGATAGCAGTTCCTCCTTGCTGATAGGAACAGCTGATATCCTAGCTGTGGTGTGGCATGCAAGACTGTAAAACATGCTGAGTTTGCTGGCTTTTATCGTGACGCCTATCTAATATTTTAAAAAGATGCATCACATCAGTTGGAAAGCAATACCATAAGCTGCAGTTCACCACATTCCTGTGCCTGCTGTGAATTATGTGGCAGATCACTCCTACAGCCAAGAATGTGAATTTCAGATGGCAAACCCTCGACATTTAAAACCAAAGTATGCTGTGTAGCAGAAAGTACAATTCTGCCTGAAGTGTCCCGGGTGCGAGGGGTGTGTGGTGCCTAGAAAGTTGTGAAGAGAGATCAGTGAAGGAGGGAGTGAGAGTTCCATGCTGCTGTGAGTACGAGAATAGACTTCATATTTCTCAAAATAAATTTTTAAAAAGTTTGTATGTTTTCTATTTGAGACTGTGGGTTTTAACTGTCAATCCATTGTGTATTTGTCTTCTATGTAAGTTAAATAAGACTCTAAAGTTTTTCAATATTAATCTATATTCTGCAATATTGATTTTCCATAATGCCCTTAATTCCAAATGTAAATAAGCATATACTAGACAGTCAATGCAAATGTTAATTAACAATGCTGTAGCACTACTAGCTGCACTTAATCTCCAACATTTATATATCCAATATCCGACATCTCTGAAAGATGGGTAGGAGACACCTGATTTCCAGAAATGCTGAACTTCTCAGACTTTCCACCAAATCAACATGACACTTAGGTTCATGTGATCTCTGAAAGTCAAGTCTACCTCAAATTAGGTGTTAAACAACAGAAAAAGAAAAGCAATGTAAACCTCTTTAAATTTAACTATAAATGGTTTTGCAGTAGAAAACAGTTTAAGTCACTGCATAAAATTACCAAAATGTTGCCAAATGACCAAAATTGGCCAAAAAAAAGAGAAAAACTTCCTTCTAAGATAACATTCAGCTGTAGCATTTTTCAATTATCTCTTTCAAAACCCACCAATGAAACAAACAGTAACTCAATTTGCAAGCAGGAAGTTTTAAGTTAGTAATATTCCTTTGAGCAAGGTAGCCAGGGTATGCAACGCAGAATTTTCTCAGCATCCAGAGTCCAACTGCCCAGAATACCATCCCTTTCAGTTTCCTAAATACAACATCCAGCCCTTTTCACACACTTGCTAAAAAGTTCCCTGTTGCTCCATGAGGTTCTTGGTTAATAGATATGTCACTGTTACCTGAGTGACACTGCTGCCCAACACAGGTGGGTTCTCGTGGTGATATTGGCAGAGTGAGCATGACACTAAACCACAGGTACAATTAAAAGGTTTTTTTCTTAACAGGATGCTATGATTGATATAGAAGAGAATTTATTATTAGAATGGCACAGATTTCTACAAGTAGAGTCAACATAGTACAGTCTGTAACTAGGATGATAGGGAATTTATAATACAATTTCACTTAAGTTTCTAACCACCTGGATCCTCTGCAGCTAGGGTCAGATCCCAATTCATAATAGTTTGTTGTATCAGTATTACAATGAAAATCTCGAGGGGCTGGGAAGCCAGATGTTTGCGGGGGCTGCCTGGGAAGGCAGGGCAGGGCCTGGCAGCCAGGACTCACCCAGCCATCCCAGCCAGGTCAGCCCAGGGCATTAGACACCTCCCTGGGGACAACAAAGGCCAGGCTGGGACATGGCACCAGGGTGGAGCTAGCTTGGCCACCAGCATTCACATAACATGACTTTGCACATGTATACCAAGCTACTAAGATGTGAATATGCTCAGATCTAAAAATGTGCCGAGCCTATATAAACCATGCCCAGGTTATATGAGGGCTAAGTAAAAGTTTATAAGGGTAAGTAAAAGTTTTTTCCTATGTAAACTTTTTTTTTTTTTTCTCATTAGGGAAGTGAAATTAAAAACATACCTTCTTTTCTATGGTTTAACTTAGAAAATGCATATTTTTGATGTTGCTGCAAGATAGATGGGGGAAATAGCTATTCTAATTGCTGCCACTGCTTAGGTATTCAGACTGAAGATTTTGATGTGCACTATGATCAAAAGCAATGCCTGGTGGTATCAAAGGAGAGATTATTCTGTGTTTCAGTTGGCTTCAGATAAAGACTATCTTTGCTTATTGATCTTCATCGTAACAAAATTTAAAGTAACAAACACATAATGCGAGTTCAAATTAATGTCATTTAAAACACCATTGTGTAGCATCTGCTGCTCACAGAGCCGTGGTTTAGCTAGGAAATTGCTAGTTACATTCTCATCAAAATCTTGTGTTTGAAGTCACTGTATTACTTTCTTCACATTACTTTGTTTAGATTTACTTTGTTCTCAACACAGACTTATGATTTCAAGCTCCATCCAGAAATATAAGTCTTGTGCAGCCTTTACTGTGGAATTCTTCACAAGTAGAGCTGTTTGAAAATTCTCAAAACAATTCAAAATAAATGATTTTTTTTTTGTGAGGACGATTTTTCTGATTTTTCTCCTCCTGCTCCCAAGAGTGATCTGCAAAACTGCAATATTTTACCTAGGATTGAAAATATTTTAGATAGGATATTAATTTTTAGATAGAATATTAATGCCTCTTTTGAGGAGCTTCCTACTCATTCTTCACCTTTATAAATGCTCAACCACCTTGTAAAACTGTTCTAAAAAGTGTACATTTTTCTGATGATGATGAATAGAAATGAGAACAGGTTTGCCCCTTTTTCCAAAAATACCCTAAACCTCTCTCTTCAAACAGGTTCCTACTCCTGGATCTTACCT